TGTATTATAATCATTTTTGCTAGCTTAGTGTTATTTCGTATGTATTTTAACTAGGCGCCAAAACTCACACACAACACACACACCTTATACATGCAGAGAAGAAAGGATCCAAATAAAGCTGCGCATGGTGAACAAAACACGAACCTAACAAACGAGTCCAAATTATATATAAATATATTTATTACATTGCCGACAATTGTAAAAAGTTCAGAACGTTTTACAAACTGAGAGAGAAGAATCCAAACTAACTATTAAAACTATAGAGTCAAAAGTATATCTTGTATGTATATGCAGAGAAAACTTTTTATAATTGTTATTTTTATGCGCTATTCCTCTATACGTGCCCACAGCAAAAAAAAAACTAAAGGCGAAAAAATTAAATTAAAAAAGTTAATATTTGTAATCTTATAGATGCATATTTTTAAACAAATTAAATTTTCTATTCTGTATAACTGTATGTGTATTCGTAATAATGATAATGTTAGTCCGTAAAAATCGCGCTTTACTATTAAATAAAAAGACAACATAATATATTTAAAAAGTCTAAAAACTGAAACCTTAAAAAATCCAATCAATGTATATTGTATAAATGTTATTATATACAGACACATTCCAAATGTTTTTGCAAAAGAGTAACTCTGCAAAAGGAGGCCTATATGATAATATGATTATTGACCGATCGGAAGTCTATCAAAATTACATTTTAAAGTCCAAGTATGGTATAGAAAGCAGGGACTGGAACTTCTGCTATGAAGCCAGGAGCCCATCAAAGAAAATGAATACCAATAAACAAGGTTAATGTTAAGTAATTCAGATCTACAATTGTTTTTAAATTTGTCTGGTTTATGCTTGCTTAAAAATCTTAGTGTTTAATTTGGGTTCTTGGATAAATATTATTATTTGACTAAGCCACCAATCAGCTAGTCGCAATTGACCAAATATTGATTGAACCCTTTTTATAAGCAAACAACACGAGACTTATATGTTCGCAATCACACATCTTTTAATAATGCAAAGATCAGCAACTTAAATTTAGATGCCGGTGTGATCCTTGATCCAGTCCAGGTAGCTGGTGACGCGGGTGAAGACGGCGGGGTACTCCTTCTCGCAGCCAGCAGAGGATCCGAAAGAGGTAAGACCGACTTGGACCTTGTCGGAGGCCAGGACCAGAGGGCCACCGGAGTCGCCGTTGCAGGTGGACACGCCAGCGGGAGTGGACACACAGATGTTGGAGTCGCGGATGGTGGAGGAGTAGGTGCGCTTGCACTCGGCGTTGGAAATAACACGCAGGTTGGCGTACTGGAGGTGGGCGGCCACGGCGCTGGCAGAGTCGGAAGTGCGGCCCCATCCGGAGGCGATAACCTCATCACCATCATAGGAAGCGTAGCGGGACTCGCGCCTGGGCAGCTCAACGTTACGAATGGCACTGCTGTAGTCCACACGGGGAATGCGGATCAAGGAGATGTCGTTCCTAAGGGTGCGGCTGTTCCAGTCGGCGTGAATGATGATGTCCTTCTTGGTAACATGGTGCTTGACCTTGGGGCTGGAGCGAACAGTGCTTCCCAGGTAGACCTCAACGGAGTCAACGCTGAAGGGAATAGGTAACAGTTAGCCAGGATGTATGTACAAGTCATTGGCAGCTTACCCGTCAGTGCAGTGAGCGGCAGTCAGAATCCACTCGCGTCCGATGAGGGAGCCACCGCACCAGGCCGAGGAGGAGCCGATCTTCAGCGAGAGTCCAGCCTGGTAGGGGAACTGGTCGGCGCGGGCATCCTTGCCTTGGGTGATGCGACCATCAGGTCCGTCCAGGGAGCGCAAGGCCGATCCGGAAGCGTAGGCCAAGGCCAAAGCGAAGACAATGAGAACTTTCATGTTGGGGCTACCTTTGGAAAGTATATCCCACTCGAACTCAGCCATCTGCTTTTATACCCGCGACTGTCCAATCAAGTGATTGGGACTATCACTATCTGATCTTAGGGCACCTGTTCAAGTGGCGTATTCTCCTTGGCTATCAAAGTACGCCGTTCAGCGATATGGGAGCTGATCTGCTCTTCGCATCGCTGGTTGTTGAAACTTCTCTGATACGGGACCATGAATCGTCAAAATTTGTTTCAGCCCGAAGATAGTAAACACAATTGGAAAAATTGGGGATTTTTTCATCGAACAAAAACCAAAAGATAAGGCTACGTGAGGTCTTTTAGAGTTAATTTAATATAAAATATAAGGAAGCAGTTAGGATAGTAGTCTTTGGATAACTTTGGACGGTAGTCCACATAGTGACGAAGCGCACCAACGATCTATATCTACACGCAGAACTTAAAATCTACTGTGGTAGTGCAAAAAGCTAAGGGATTCACTCAAGAAATAAATACTTTAGAAATTGGGGCTGGTGGGTCTGGGCTTAACATCAACAAAAATAATAATTGCTAATTCTTGTTAAAAGTACGGATCGATCCTGTACTCCTTTCACAAATATTCTTATTATACCTTACTGCCATAAAATAATTTTGTTTGATAAAAGAATGATTAGTTTTAACTTTTTTGAAAAAAAAGAGCAAATTGCCAACCTAGATGTTTCCACGTTTGAAAATTTACATGCAGCAAAACTGTTGCACTACACAACAACTATAAGATCTCAATATCAGAAACACCAGCTCTTCGGCATTTAAAAAATACGCTGGATTAATTAGAAAAAGGCTAAAGACTTTTATAGTTCCTAGAACTCTTGATGTAAGAGCATTTAATTATATTAATTATTATTTAAGCTTAAAGGTTGTTTTAAATTGGCAACTCTTCAGGTTCCCAAACTATTTCACTCTTCAAAATGTATGCATATCAACATTTATGGTGACACTGAGTTTATGCGAAGTTCTGTGGGAAAGTAATTGTCTCTAAACACATCTGATATCAAATAACTAAAACTGGTGACGATCGTGCCTTCAACATAAAAGAAGGTTCTGATACCAACATTGTGACGAAATTTAATTTTGAATGTTATATAGTTTTTCTTATTTGAACAATCTATTTCGATTTTTAAAAGCCACCAAAAAGTATGCTGCACCACATAAAAGCCTTTCTTATCATAGACAAAAGAAGATAGCCCCACCCCACAAAACGAACTGCGTCACTTTTTGAAGTGCTTTTCGCGGTACGCCCACCCCTTCGAAAAAAAGCAATAATCGCAACTAAAATGCTCAACATTTAATTTAATTGCAGTGCCCAGCACTGTTTGATCAGCCATCGAGGTCCCCTCCAATCCTACGAATAGAGAACTCCGCTCACCTCGCCTATCCAGTCCAAATAGGCGGTGACGCGTGTGAAAACCGATGGGTATCCCTTAGTGCAGCCCGACTTTTTGCCATAGGAAGTAATGCCGATCAGAACGTCCGTATTTTGTGTAGGATCGTTGTAGACCAAAGGGCCTCCAGAGTCTCCGGTACAGGTGGACTTCCCTCCCGTGGTGTCCATGCAGATGTTCGTCGATTTAATCTTAGCGTAGGAGTATTCACAGTCTTCATTGGATTCCACAAAGCGGGCAACATAGCGCAGGGTATCGGATATTGCAGTAGATTCTGGGTGTGGAGATTAGTAAACTATAGCTTGGTGCAAAGGTTCGCAATTAGGCTGGTAATTATAAGAGCACTCTTAAAATCTATTTGTACGAATCTATTTATCAATTGTTAAATCAAGAAGCTTAAAGAAAGTAAATGTTTTGTGAGTTCTTACCGTCATTCATGCGGCCCCAGCCGGAAGTGATAGCCGGAACATAATCGTAGCTGTTTCGGCTCGATGAGATTCCTGGCAACCGGATGGGTCTTATGGAATCACAGAGCAGGGCATCCTCTGGTAATCGTACCAGGGCAATGTCGTTTTCCAAGGAATCGGAATCCCAACCGGGGTGCAGATGCACATCGGGGTTACTCGTTCGAATAAGCTGTCGAGGGGCAAGGCGCAGCACTCCGCCCAAGTAGTAAGTGATAGCTACCGCCCTGAATTGATCGAGTTATCAGCTAGTATATTGACTACATTCTGCATTGCATACTCACTTTTCAACGCAGTGCGCTGCCGTTAGCAGATATCGGTCGGAGATCAAACTAGCGCCACACCAGCAAAACATGTTGTTGGGCTCCTCAATGCTCAGACCCACTTGATGGGGAAACTGATTAGCACGGGCCAACTCCCCGCCAGCGATTCGGCCTCCGATCCCATGACCCAGATCCAGGCAATAGATCGAACTTCCCTTGACTAAGATTAGCAGAAAAACTGAAATCGTACTGAGTTGCATGCTTTTCAGAGTCAACTATTCGCACCACTGACGCAGTCCATCCACCTGAATGGGGATTTATGGCCCCTCAATTGGTTAATCTCTAGCAGTAATGCCTGATTATGAATTATCTCCTCGGACCCATCGGAACGCCACTAGATTGCCGAAATAATTTGAAGTACATATGTTTTGCCTTCATTAATCACGGATCCCCGATAGGAGTACTTATTCAAAGAACTTTGTTCCGAATGAGCTGCTTTTTTAAGGCTTGCTTACTCTTAAATTTAAATAAAAGATTACTTTAAGGGACCGGCAGTAAAAGTATGTTACACATTATTTTTAAACAAAAAAATGGGTGTTCCATCTACAGGAGATTGCGATATCAGTGAAGACCTATCAATTGCATATTCTAAGTACTGATATCAAAGCAATCAAGAACTGGGAATTAGTAAGTAATTACGTGACCCCATGTGCTAGTTTGGCTGGATTTAAAATTGAATGCACTACTTAGACTGAAAATGAATAACCACCTCACGTGCGTGCGTTTTAACTTGCAGTGATTCACTAAATGGATCCCAATACAAGTGACTTGTTTTTAGTCGACCATGGTATAATAATCCCACTGGTCTAGGGTGCTTGATGTTTAAGAGGTCCTTATCATTGATAACCAGCTGCAAGCTTAACCATTTCCTATATAACCATGAAGCAGACTCGCTGCCTCAGTTATTTTGAACCTAGAAAATGATGAAGCTTTTGATCTGTGTCCTGCTGGCAGGATCCTGTACGGCGGTTCCCCTCCTATCCGATGTGGAACCCTATATCACCAATGGAGAGCCGGCGGAGGTGGGTCAGTTTCCCTACCAGGCCGGTCTGAACGTCTCCTTCGGGAACTGGAGCACCTGGTGCGGCGGCACCTTGATTTCGCATTACTGGATAATCACAGCAGCTCACTGCATGGATGGGGCGGAGTCCGTAACGGTCCATTTGGGCGCCATAAATATTGGTGATGAGTCTGAGGAGGGCCAGGAGAGGATCGTGGTGGCGAAGTCGGGTATTATAGTGCACTCGAACTTTATAGCTAGCACGGTGGTCAACGACATCTCGCTTATTCGATTGCCCACCTTTGTGCGTTTCACTGATCGCATCCGGGCCGCCAGTCTCCCGCGTCGCCTGAACGGAGAGTTTCCCACGTACGAGTCCATTCGGGCCTTCGCCTCCGGCTGGGGACGGGAGAGCGATGCCTCCGAAACAGTCTCCCCCGTGCTGAGATACGTGGAGATGCCCATAATGCCTCACGCTCTGTGCCGGATGTACTGGAGTGGAGCTGTGTCGGAAAAGATGATCTGCATGAGTACTACCAGCGGCAAGTCCACCTGCCATGGTGACTCTGGCGGTCCGCTGGTCTACAGGCAGGGCAACTCCAGCTACCTGATCGGATCCACCTCTTTTGGAACTTCTATGGGATGTCAAGTGGGTTTTCCGGCCGTGTTCACCCGCATCAGCAGCTACTTGGACTGGATCCTTAACCACACCATCGTGCACACTAAAGAATAAGCTGTAGACTGTATTGTTGTCCGTAAGAGACACAGTTTAGTTAGGTTTTTATAAATAAATAAAATTGAACTGTTGATCAGTCTCAGAATACATTATTGGACTCTTGAATCTGAAGTTTGCCCCGGAAGTGGAACAAAAAGTTCCTCCGAAGTCCGCAAAGAAAACACGTATCATTTAATTTTCCTGATTTTTTTGTTGTTTATTTTTTTCATTTTTATAGTTTTTTGTTCAGAATTTTTGCCTGGTTTTGAAGATTTTTATTCGTGCCCTCGTGGGGTGTGCAAGTGACGAGTGAGTTCATATTCGAACGCACAACCAAACAATCCCAATGAAACCCGACACTTGCCCGCCACCCGAGCGGCGGGTTTTCCATTTGCTTTCCAAGTATGTACAAAAACTTAAGTTAGGAGGGGCGATGGGCGGGGATGGGCGTGGGGTGAGGTGGGTGTGGGCGTGGGCGTGGTATAAGGGGCCAAGAATAAGTATGTAAAGGGAAATCTGAATCTTAGATGCAAATTACGCATTCGACCGATCGATTACAAAAACGGGTTTCTCGGGTTCCCCAACTTAAAGTATACGTTTCTCGACCGTGTGGGATGGTGTGTGTATGGATGTGTGGTGTGTTTAGAGCTATATATGCTTGCAGCTTAATGCAGTAGTAGAGAATTCGAATACGAATATACGAGTACGAATAGTTTTGAAAAACGCGCAACGTTCGCTTAACCTTTGCCTTAGTCGAAAATTACATAAAATTTCATTTCATTCTCATTTTCGGCCCGAATATATAGATCTTGCTTAGATTTCCATATGCCTAACTTTTGTTTTTCTTCGTTTAGCCTTCTGTTAGTTTTTCGTTCGTTTAGCTTAGTTTGCTTGCATTTACATAATTTTAAAACTTTTTTGTTTTCTTGCACAACAATTTTTGTTTTATCCAAAATGTAGTTTTGGGTTTCTTTTTTGTTTGCATATTTCGTTTTTGTTTTGGGAGTTTTTATTTGTTTTTGTTTTGGTTTTTTGTGGTAATTTGTTTCGTAATTCTATTTAAAAAATAAATTAAAAACAAATGAAAGCTACGTCAACGTTCCAGGCGATCTTGAAACATAATATCCTCCGCTGAAACAATCAGATCTCTTTACTTATCTTCATTGAAAATGGTAAATACACTACTGTATATATTGCTAGGTGTCGAAAACTAAATTGAAACACGGTTAATCGGACAATCGTTCGGAAAGGAAGGAAAACTTTGCTAACTAAAAATAAACTTCTTCATTCATTTTCGGATTAGCAACTATGTATTAGATAAATAATTCATTATGTAGTTTGGCGTCTTCAATTTTGAATCAAAGCGCTGGCTTTCCATCTTCTCCCCTATCCTCTAGCCACAACTATTTGCTCCTCTGTGGGGATTATTCTGAAGTTCTTACTCTCTCTCTGGCTTGCATTTAGTTGGGGCCGTATTTAATATATTTGCTAAGCGGAAGTCTGTACTATATATCTCTTGATTTGTGTGAGTGTGTGTTTGTGAGTGGCTATATACAGCTTAGAGTGTGTGTTACGGGTATTTGATTTGCTAACTTAAACACTAGACGGCCATTGCTGTTCTCTATGAATATTTTGCTTGTGTCGCGGATTTCGATTGCCAACAATTCACTTAAAACTATTCCGTAATCTTATGTATGTGGGCGTATATGTATGCTATTTATTATAGTTATAAATTAATTAATGCTGTACAAAAGTTTTCGCGATTTGAGTTTTGCTTTCACGTCCAGCCCCTCCACGCGACCTCCATCTCCATTCTCCTTCTATCTGCGCTTCCGATTCCACTCGCAACTTGGAGTTTTAGCAATGTGCTTAACTAAAATCAATAATGCATCTCACTAACAATCCTAACAACTGGCCTACAATGGGACTTACTGAGGTTCTATACATATATCAAAAATTACGACTTAATGGTAACCCCTGACCGCTACCACTACTTCTTGTTGTAGACGGGCATGGGAGGCGGTGCAAGCCCTACGGCCGAGGGAGGTACAGCGCCGGTGGGCGCCAACAGCATGGATGGTGGTACAGCAGAGGCCAATGGGGCGCCCATTCCTCCAGACATATTGGGTGCGGCGCCAGCACCGCCAAGGGGATTAAAGATGCCGCCACCAGCTCCATTGTATTTCGCGTAGTCTTGGCTCTTGCTCTTTTTGCTCTCCTTGTCGCGGTCGCGATCGCTGTGCTTTTTCTTGCTGCTGCCACCGGAACTGCTGCCGCCTGAGGAGCTGTAGCCACCACCGCCGGCACCATAGGGAGGCAGAACAGGAGCAGGTCCTCCGGTTGAAGCGGACGTGGTGGTAGCCGTAGTTGGAGGCAACCCATATCCGATTGCGCCCGGCAGACCCGCCGCTGCGGAGTAGTTATTGGGCTCAACCTTATTTTTGCTAATCTTAAGCTTAATGGGGGCTGACGCACCGGCCTGCAGGCTGCCGTTGGGATTCTTGATCACCATCTTCAGAGGCTCATTGGCTAGAGAACTGTCCTTGCTGCCACCGCTGCTGGTACGATCCTTCTGCTTGTCCTTCTTGTGCTTCTTACGCTCCTCCTTCTCCGTCTTGTCCTTGGACTTGTCCTTCTCCTTGTGCTTGTGCTTGTCCTTCTTCTTTTTCTTTTCGGACTTGCTGCTGCCTTCTTCCTTAATCTCTCCGGCCAGCTTGGTGGGTACTTCCAGATCCATGGGTGCGGGCCCACCAGCCAAACTGGTCAAGGGAGTTATTCCCGGTTCTTTCTTGATTGTCGCTGGTGCGGGCATGGGCTCAAGCAGTTCGGCCGGAGGTTTTAGACCGGGCATAGTCAAGGCATCCGGTTTTAAGAGCGAAGCGTTAGATGGACACAGACTCTCCTTCAGCAAACTGCGCACCAGATCCGGCGTAGTCTCGATCCCATTGGAAATATTCAAAGGCGTGTGCTTCTCCTCATAACTCGGATAAGTTGGTAGGCCAGTTGAAGTGTCCAGTTTGCGCAGCTTCTCGCGCGGCATATTACTGTTATCCATCTCATCCAACTTATTAAGTCCGTATTGACTTCCCGAGATCTCGTTGGGCCGTTTTAGGCTGCCGGTCTCTCCAGGATTGGGTAACAGGTCCCCGCCATGGGGCATCTGTTTCTTGTGAGGCGGCAGCATCGGCTTTGATGACCCCGAGCCGGAGGAACTGCTTCCACTGCCCATGGGGGGCATGACCGGACGGTGCTTATCCTTTTTGGTGGGCGTAAGTCGCTCTTTCTTGGGACTTTCTTTGTCGCGCGGATAACTATTCAGCTTGTAATCATGGCCTGGTGGCGCAGGAGGGGGTAGTAAACCGTTGAAAGGCTGTGGTTGCAACTGCGACATAGGCTCCTTTTTTATGTCCGACCACTCGGGACTAAAGAGCGAGTTCTTGGATTGCAAGGATTGCTGAGATGCCTCCGGAGGCATCTGTTGCTGTTGAGCCTGAGGCACTGGCTGCTGCATGTGGCCGTAGCTCTGGCTCTGGGAATAGGGCATTTGCTGCTCGAAAGGCGGCATGCCATGGACGGTGGAGCCGGATTTGCTGCGATGCCCGCCATATCCGGCCGGAGGCGGTGGCTGGGATCCATTGCTAGCGCCAGGATATCCACCACGCGACATCAGCGGATTTGGAGGGGCACTATTATTGTATGGCGGCGGAGCGTTCGGATACATTTTGCTGCTCTGGGATTTATCCTTGGAGGACATACCCGATGCAGAGGAATTAGAGGCGGATGGATGAGGAACCAGTGGCTGCTGCTGCGGCTGCTGAGGCTTGGAGCCTGAAGTCATCTTGTGGCTGCCGTGAGGTGGCATATTAACGCCTACCGGCGGCATGCCGCGCGAGGATTTGTGGTAGTCCACGGGCATAGACGGTCGTCCAGGCTGCTGGCTCGAAGACGACGAGGATGAGCTGCTGCGCTGGCTGCCGCTTCCCGAGGAACCGAGTCCACTGCCACTACTACGCTGGTGACCTGAGGGCATTCGATTGTTATAGCCCGGCTGCTTTGACTTGTGATCTGCAATACGAATATGTTAGAAAACGTGTTTCTCATCGAAGTCGTTGGAGAACTTACCAGGATGCACGTCGGGCGGCATGCCACCAGGGTAATTTGGCATCTTGTGACTGGAGGAAGACGACGAGGAGCTGCTGCCTGGCACTCCGCCCACTGAGGACGAGCGCTGATGGCCGCCATCCTGGCGTCTTTGCTGCGGCACCATAGCTGGTGGCGGCAGTAGTGACGACTGATCCCGCTCCCGCTCCCTGTCCCGTTCACGATCTCGCTCCCGATCCCGACTGTCGTTGCCGTTTAACAGCTCTGGTGGCGTCGTGATGTTTGAGTGGTAACCCTTCATCATCTCGGTGATCTTCCAGTCCTCCTTGGGCTTGTCCTTGCTGTTAGCTGTTCGATTGCTGGCTCCCTGGGCGATCGCCTTGATCGAGTTAAGCTTAGACTTCAGACGGGCAGGGCTCTTCTCATAGATAGCGATGAACTCATCTGTCAGCTGCTTAAGCAAATCCAGCGAGACCGTCTTGTCCACGTAGTAAAACCAGTGCTTGCCCTCAGTCGACTGGGGGATCTCCCATCGGGACCACTTGCAGGCTAGGTAAATGCAGAAGCAGGCTACCACCGTAGGGCGGTATTGCAGGCACATCGAGGTCAGATGCAGGCTGTGCCAGGATGGTTAAGTCAATTTAGTGGAAAGTCTTTTGGTAGAGTCTTACACATAAAATGTAGTTGGGTGAGTGTGTGCAGGGGGATTTCATCACTTATAATACAGATTACGTCTTCAGTTCTAAGCATGTTCCCAGCATTTATCTTTTTATCTTGGCGAACTTAAGTTCAAAAGGATTATTCTAAAATCTTTTGACTATGTCTAGCAGGTATACCAAAGTGAATTTATCTTTTGTCCATATGTTTTGGTATGCAAAAGGATTACAATGGATCTCATTACAATTCTTCGCATATACCAAAAAGGCAATTTTCTTTTTCTAGGAATTAAAATCTTTTTCTTAACATTTGGCGGATTTCCCGACACAAATTACAATGTTATTGCAGGCAACTGACGATAATTACCGCGAGGGACACGGAAAATACTGCCTTTTTGTTAAGATGTGAGATTTGTACAGACTGGCGGCCTGCTGCGATTAGGGAACGCGTATTCTTGTTCGGTTTGTGACTTTGGGTCCTCACCTTTTTTTGTTTCGACCCAGATACCTGGGTTTGTTAGCTATAAGCGAGGAATTAGTCAGGTAAAAAAGTGCCCAAGAATTTTAGCCTCAACAAGCCAGGGATCGAATGCTCTACAACCTGACCACTTTCTGGGGAGGATTGGTCCAACTCCACACCCGCATACACACACACACACACACTGCTTATAACACAGCCGTATTTGCCATTGGAGGCGATCTCTGGGAGGGATTATACCATAGAGTAGCGCATTGCTAGCCATACCTGTTCGAGGCCAAGAAGTACGATGTCTGCGCCAGATCCTTGCATGCTAAAATATACCACAGTAATCAGTACCATCTGACATGTGAAGGGGACATGGCTTGGGTCGGATGGTGGGTGCCTACCTTTGACCAGCTGGCAGGTGCGCACTACATGCGTGTGCGGATGATCGATGGCCACATCGAAGCCGAGCGTCTGCAGGAGCACGTTCTCGTTGAACACAAGCTCTTGGGCGAGTTCGGCGTAATTCTGCTCGGTGGTCGGCGGCAGGCACTTGTTGGCGGCCCGAATAACATGCTCCAGCTTCCGCGGTTGCTCCTCCACCTTGGCGGCTAGAAAAAGGCTCGCCGACGCCATGGAGTTGCGATGAAAGTGGGTAAAAGAGTGGAAGGCGTAGAACCGATGCATGTACACAATGGCCGTGTTGATGCATAGCTGTGAGACCTGCAGACGCTGACCCATCTCCTGGATCAGATAGGCGGTCATCTGGCGGTACTGCAGCTCATCGTCGCCCTTGATGCCGCAGCGTCTGCTGGGCGAGTTGGCCAGCTGATCGTTGCTGAAGTACCAGATCTTGTCCTTCTCGAACGGCAGGTTGTTGTTGGCGCTGGGCGGTATCCCGCTGGACGAGGTGGCCGCGGAGGCGGATGAAGAGGATGAGGCGGTGGTCGCCTGGGGCATTGGCGTGGCCAGGAGACTCATGGTTGTATGTTTGCTGTATCCGTGCCTTGGGGGTGGGGATCTGGGGTTTGGGTTCCGTGTGGATGTGCGGGCTCCTCCGTTTCACATGCAAACTGCGCCTCGGAATGGACCTAGTAATCCCTTTTGCCTGATTCAGCTGTAGGAACTAACTGTACAAAGAGGAAGAGAGAGCGCTCTTTCTTTGTCGGCCGTGCTTGAGTGCGCTGGTATTGGTGTCCGTGTCCGTATCCGTGTGCGTTGCTGCTGTGGCGGGGGTGGCGGCGGTACGGAGGGGGCAGCGGGGATCGCACAGCACATTGGCTACGCCACACTCGATATTTCGTTGTTTTTGGGCGACTCCAATTTGGGTTCGGAACGAGGGGCTATATCCGCGGTCCGCACACTTTTTCCGCCGCCGCGTCTCTGCGTGTTTGTTTGTGTGTGTGTTTGCGTGGTGGTGGTGGTGTGGTGTGGTGAGGTTTTCTGGAAATTGCGACTGCGGCGGAAACGAAACGAGACGAAAAACACACTAACCGCGACACCAGGCGACGTGTTATGCAACTTTCGTATCAATTCATAGTTATTCGCACTGCAATCGCCGACGCGTCGGGCACTTTAACCATTACGGGTCGTGTAATGCACGTTTTTAATTCCACAACGCATCACAGATTCTATTCACACAGTGACAATGACAAGCTTTGCAGAAAAAAATGTATTTTCAAGTATGGCCGTCGGCAGGGCTGCCAGATGGAAACGGCTTTCCCCATCGATATAAATCGATGCTATCGATATTATTTCTAACATGTGGCAACGCCATTTTCCCATCGTTTGATGTTATCGATTATCGAATTGTGTTGTAAATACTAAAATAAATGTACAAAAATGAAATAAAAAGTATTAATAACGTTTATGTTGAATGGTCGAGAAGTAATTGCTCCAAAAATGCGTGATATAACATAGCATTCAATACTGAATACTGAACAAGTACTTACTTTTCACAGTGTCTACATTAGTTTGTTTCATACAACTCAATTTAAAAATATCGTATATTCGGGTAATCGCTGTCATTTATACTCCAATTGAGATTATCGATAATAAAATACCAAAATACCAGAAATACTATACAAATAATACTGGCTTATAAGCTGACTTCACTGTTCATATGTACATCAAGAAATGTTTTACTGAATCATAAAAAATACTGTCAGAACAAAGAAAGACATTCAAAAATCCTGTACAGTTTAAATAGGAATGCATTTTGGGAATGAAGTTTTGCTCATTTAAAATCTGACATAAAAACACGGTTACATTTTATTGTTATTTATAAAACAGATAATATATATTTATGGTTTGTAGATTAAAATATACAAAATTTAGCTAAAAACCTTAAAACTCTTATGTTGTCATAACAGTAAATAATTATGCTAGCTTGTGACTGTTATTCTTGCTTCGTTTTTCGTAATGCATTCTTATAAAAAATTAATCTAATCCGTTCGCTTGCGCTTTCCTCTATCCATAAAATTCACCTACATACCATGACTTCGATCCAACGTTCGTTTCCTTACTACATAAGTATTAAAGTATATATATTATATATATATTGTGGCTGGCTTTAGCTGATTTCTCATCGCAGACAGTTTAAAATGTGTCTTGCAAATGTACAAAGATTGAACAGAAAGTGAAATAAACAGGCTAAAAACTTAACTTAGCTCAGTAAATCCAAAACTAATCGTAGCTAATGTTAATGCATTCAACATATTCATCTAAATCTAGGCCAATCCGCGCTTCGAGATAGTCGTATCTGTACTATTCTCAAGCGCCATAGAATACCTTTAAATAATCGCACGCTCGATTTAAAAGCTATATAGTTTGTTTCGTTTTTTGAGTTACCAATAGAAAGATATCTTGTCTTAGCCTAGTATAGAAATCTCGCCCAAACGGCATCGATATTCTATTACATTTAATTTAGTTGGTCTTATCCAGCATTCGGGGTTATCCAATCTAACAAATAATTGGTGTATATATATAAAATACGTTTATAATCGAGTGGAATCATGAGGTCCAGAAGTTGTTTATATACAGTTATCGTGCTAAGCATGTATATTTGCTTTGGAGTTGGAGTTTCCAACTGTTTTTAGGCTATCGAAGTGAAAGGGGAGCTCCCTGGGAAATAGGAGATTGAAATTTAAGTGTACTATCTCGATTTAAAGCTGCATTATCCGGGTTGTGGCTCAGATTCTTGGTTACCGATTTCGTTGTACTCGACTCGTGATTTTTGCATATATGGTTCGATTCTGCTCTTCTTGTAGGTGTGCTTATAGCTAGGGTCTTATAACATTTAAATATTCATTCCCTAACAACTAATAACTGATTTATGCTAGGTAATAATGGTAGATGCATTATCAACGTTAATTAATAGACATACATATAAATCCATGATCTGGGGGGAAACCTCATAAACTGAGACCTCGTGAAATGGTGTCAAAATGCCATACTGTGTCTTAGAACTACAAAATACACCGACTGGACTTTATCTAAAATATGTGATCTCGATTTTAAATATCGGCAATCTGCTCGACTATCCTATATAGACTTTGAATATACTGTAACTTATGCAACTTTATGTACTTTTTATGGGAGGTATATCTAGATTCCAAATTTGTAGCGGGTTCCATATATTTGTATCATATCTTTGCTTACGTTCTATTTTTCATTTGGTTTTTGTGTTTTGCTGCTGTGCAGGGTATAAATAAAACGCATGCACAAATTGAAATAATAATTTTATTTAAAAAATAAAAAATAATCATAAAAAATTGATTACAATGAACAGAGTTGAACTCAAGACTCACTTTGTTTATTTGCATCATCAATCACCAATCATCATAAACAAAATGATATATTGTAGATTTCATCTTCACGTACACATAATAATAATAATAATAATAGATAAAGGTACTTAGAGAACGCAACTATTTAAGAAATAGATTAAAGAACTAGGAGTTGGTTTTATTCTCTTTTCCTATTCAAGGTTTCCTTTCAAGAGATTGCACGTTTTGGGCAGTGTTTGGAAATTGTTGTAGAAGTTGTCGGTATATTGCATTGAGGATTGCGGTTGCAGTATTGTTGAAACTATGGGTCAGTATCTCGGTTCTGTTCGATTAAATGTTCAGATCTGTTCCATTTTGTAAGGCTTGTATCGATTTGTGGCAGTGTGACGTTAACAAGAATACAATCGTTAGACTTTAAGCTGTATGCTTTAAAAATAAACTTCAGATCGAGAGAGAGTTGAGTTTGGTTTGGCGTTCTAAGACTGCTTAAACGATGGCTCAAGGAGTGCCTTCTTCGAAATTATCCTGTGAGCTTTCTGCTGTTGATGTTGTAAAGTTGTAAATATACAAAACTTATCAAATAATAATTACAAGAAAGTTTAGACCACCAGTTTGCTGGGTTCTTAGCTCCAGTTAGGATGTGTGTGTTTTTGTTGTTTGGGGGGAGTTCAGGGGTGTAGCTGGAGAAACACTTAAATAAATATCCTAAACGTAATCGTACAAATAGCTAAAACTATGAAATAATAAATTTCCATCTCTCTTCTTTTATAAAATAAGCAACAAAAACAATTAGCCCAAGCACAGACACCCACGCAGATCGCTCGGATCCGCATATATATACATATATCTGCGAAGACCCATATCCTCTGCACTGGGTTCGTCCTTGGGCAGCGGGTTGGGCTAGGGGACAGTTGAAAGGGCATTAGGCTAGGCATATACATATACATACTCATATACATTTAGATTTAGTATTAGATCAATAGAGATAGAGAAATTCTTGCAGCTATCGGGGTTCGTACTCATTTACATATTACACACATCTATCGAATATCAATATGAATCAATTCGGTCGTCCTTCGTCCTTCCGCCATAGCAATAGCAATAATAATAATAATATTAATAATAGTAATAATAGTAATAGTAATAATAATAATAACCAATAATAACAATATTCATTACAGTTACTGTTTACAGTTAAAACTACAGTTAAAAGTACAACACTAACGCCCATGAATAGATCATTAATTACCGCCGATTTAGCTGGGTGTATGTATAGGGTACAGGACACAGGGTGTGAATATATATATATCTATATATAAGTATATGTACGCGTATTGGGACTATCAGCTATGTGTAACCTATGCTTATCGCTGGCTAACCAAGAAACTCAACGCATGTACAAAGAAATCCCTTCCTCGCGTGGCCTTCAGCCACTATTGCCGCTAGCCGGTTGATTTATATCCCACCCAGAACCTATTGCCATTCCAGCTCGATCCGCCCGGGATCAGGGATCGAACTATATTTACAGGCCTCGTCGTCCCGCTCGTCCGCATTACTTCACACACCATTGCAGTCAATCTCCACGATGTCCTTGGGCACATCCACGAACTGGTAGACCAGACGCTGGCCATCCACCTTGGCCAGTATGCCGCGCTGGTAGTAGTACCTCAGCGCCCTGCCCATCGTCTCGTAGTTCATGTCCGGCTTGTTCTTGTGCATGCCCCACAGGCGGGACACCGCCTTCGAGTCGACCAGCTTGAAGACGCCCTTCTCCCGGTTCGTCCACTTGATGAAGCGCGGACAGTACTCGCGATCCTGCAGCAGCTTGAGGAGGAACTCCCACAGGTAGGTGGTGGATCCCTCCCGGCTGCGCCGCTTCACGCCCATCTCCAGCTTCGGCTTGCGCGGCTTCTTCGCCTTCCGCTGCTGGAAGCCGCCCAGCTCCAGCATGTAGGAGAGATCGTAGCTGACGCTGGACGTCGCCGGTTGGATAACGCTCTGGGATCCGCCCGCTGCAGCTGCCGCCGTTGCCGCTGCCGCTGCACTGGCGCTCAGCATTGCTGCGGCTGCAACGGCGCTGCTGCTGCTGCTGACGACAGATGCTGCTGCTGCTGCCGCCGCTGCAGCGATTGTGGAATGCGTGTGCTGGCCCGCGTGCGGATGCGAATGCGGATGGGAGTGCGGATGTGAGTGCGGATGCGGACCGTTCAGCTGGGAGTGCGGGTGTTGCTGCTGTTGCTGTTGCTGCTGGTGCGACAGTTGCTGGTGCAACGTCTGCTGCTGCTGGTGCGACAATTGCTGGTGGGCCAGTTGCTGTTGCTGCTGCGATTGCTGCTGCGACTGCTGTTGCTGCTGCTGCTGCTGCTGGTGCAGGGAATGATAGCCGTTGATGGTGGTTCCACGCTGGGACGCCGCTGCCGTTGCCGCCGTAGGTGCGTTGAAGTAGGACGTTGTCAGGTAGCCCGGCGTCTGGGGGTTTCCTGGACCACCTGGTTGTGCGCCCCCACTGCCGGCGCCACTGCTTCCGTAGTAGTTGTCGGGCACTGCAAGAACAAAGTCAGATATATAAATGAGTTCAGGAGATTAAGCGGACTTGCTAACCAACAGGTGAACGTCCCTAACTCAAGCCACCAACTTCCATTAAGAACTTCATATTCCCTCATGCATATTAAAAAAGTAATATCATTCCTACATAGTTGTAACATGTTAAATAAAATATAACTAAGCTGCACAACAAAATTCAAAACTCATATTTGAATCTTAATTTAAAGTCTTGAAACTAAAACTTTTCCGGAACTAACTTTCGCTGTTAAGAAATGCATTAATTTCTATTGCTTATCTAAAAAGTTATAGTTCTGTGATTTTGGTGATATCCAAAGGACACCAATTGCAGCATAGTTTTAGACTACGTACTAAGTTATTTCCCATTGTTTAGAGATTAAGCCAAATTCTCATCAGTTAACCC